TGGTCCATTTCTAGATAACCATTGGCACAAGAGTATGCTCTGTACACTTTAAAGAAGCGGATTTCAAGAGAACTTTAACAGGGAAGCTTGTTCTGAAGAAGCATGCAGTTCCAAGTATGCTTGGCTTGTCAAGATCACCCAGAAAAAGAAAATCTCTGAAAACGCGAGAACCACCACATGCACGCCTGCGTTTATTTGATGTGAACATGGCATCGCCCCCAACTGTTCCCATCACAAGTAAATATTGTCAGTGTATTGTTGTCAGCATTGTTTTAAACTTTTCTTGGTTAAAATCGTGAAATGATCTGAGTTATTTAGGTTTTTCATTTAATCCATAGCATCGACTTCTGATGAGGAATGTCCAGTGGCGGTCCAATCAGAATTGTTATCCTCTCCTGTTGTTGTAGACTCCCCCGAGCCCATATACACGCCTACCTTGAATTGCCACGATTACATTTTTTTCTGGTGAACTTCCCAAGACCACAGAGAAGCTACTTGAAGCAGCTCATCAGAGAATAGAGGAGCTGGAGGCAGCACTGGAGAAACAAACAATATATGTACGACTAAAAATGAAACCTACCAGCAGCATTAGGTTTTACACAGGTTTTCCTTCTTTTGGTGTTCTTGTTGCAACATTTAGAGCTCTGAGTCCCACGGCACAGAATATGTATTCTTGGTCCCAAATGCAGCGCCTTAGAAACAGAGGGATCAGGGATGTTGAAGGCCTTAGACAAACTATGCAAGCCTGCTAACTAAGTTTATTTGACAAGTTCTATTTAGTTCTTCAAAAGTTGAGAGTTGGTACCTTAAATCAAGTATTAGCTGATAATTTTAATATTTCCCAAACAACCGTCAGCAGGGTTTTTATCTCCTGGATTAATTTTCTTTATTTCATGCTTGGGAGTATTTGTATCTGGCCATCTCGAGCAAAAATTAAGAAGCACATGCCCACTTTCAAGTCTCTGTACCCAGACTGCAGGGGTATTATTGATGCTTCCGAGATAAAGGTTCAGGCACCATCAAGATTAGTCTTAAATAGGTTAAAAGGGGTTGACAGGCTAAACACAACTCCCGCTGTTTCGTGATGCAATAGGTCTTTGACCTTTAGAGTTTAGCTCTAACAAGTATGTCTTTTAGAGATTTTCCTCTCCTGTGGGAGATCAGAGGTGGTTCTCTGTATATTTCTCCCAGCATTGGTTGGTTTTCGATTAAATGCCACTTGGAAAAGATACATCGATGACGTGTTCTGCCTGTGGGACACAAACAGAGAGGAAATAGACCAATTCATTTTAGAAGCAAACAGACACCATCCTACCATAAAATTCGCGGCTGAAATATCAGAAGAGAAAACAAACTTCCTAGACACTGCTATCTTTAAAGGCGAGAGATTCTACAAAGATTCAATCTTTGACATCCGTACGCACTTTAAACCGACTGAGACATTTCAATACACGCATTTTTCCTCCTGTCACGCTCCAGGTGTGAAAAAAGGATTTATCAAAGGCGAAACCCTTAGGTTTCTTAAAAAACGAAAACGTTAAAAATTTCAGATCACACTTGCGTGTCCGAGGCTATCCAGATAATCTGGTAGACAAAGTCCTTGCAGAGGTCAAATTTACAGATGGAAAGTCGGCACTTCAACAAAAACCGCAAAAAGTGAAAAACGGATTAATGCCTTTTGTCACACAGTACAATCCATCAGTGCCTAACCTTAAAAATATTTTAATGAGCAAGTAGCATTTAATCGAAAACCAACCAATGCTGAGGGAAATATACAGAGAACCACCTCTCATCTCCTACAGGAGAGGAAAATCTCTAAAAGACATACTTGTTAGAGCTTAACTCTAAAGGTCAAAGGACTATTACAACACGAAACAGCGGGAGTCGTGTTCAGCCTGTCAACCCCTTTTAACCTCAGTCTTCACTGACATTCCTGACAGACGCAACATAGAAACAACTGAAGAGATTCGCTAAAGAATCGAAACTCGAGTCTTGTTTGAGAATGAACCAAACACTCAACGAAGATGGCATGCTTGTGCCAGGACCTTCCAAATCAGGCCAAAGCAACATAGACAATAACGAAGATATGCTGTCAACATCAGATAGCGATTTTGAAAGTGGCCAACGGCCGCCCGACCGTAAGCGCCGCCACAGAGAAGGAAGGAAAGACAACATCCCCAACAAGAGACCTCGCTATAACAGATACAGCGCCTCTACTCTGGAAAAGAAAGTTGAAAAATCCGAATCGCCTATTAAGAAACTGAAGGCACACACCCAGAAGAAAACGTGCCCTAAAGACTTGAGGTACAACGTACGAGTCAACATCGTGCCGCACGATGAATTCAAAAGTGACATCAGCCACATCCGCAGAGAAGCTGAACAGAAAGTTATTGGCGCGTTCACACGCTACCACTACAGACGAGCAGAGAGCAACAAAATCAAGCTCAAACAATTTGAGCAAAGACCAAACGTAACTGGAGGAAAGAAAATGAACAATCCT